CCGACTCGTCGACGAACACCTGTTCACCGGCGAGAAGTTTATCGATGGTATTCCCAAAACCAAACAAGTTATCCGACCATAAAGTTATGTCTCTCTCATTGGGATTATTTTTGTTGTATAAATTTCGTTGTAATTAATTAATTAATATTTTACCAAAATAATAAAATATTACTTTATTATCTACAGTACGGGAGTCTGGGTTACCAAATTTAATTATAAACTCAATACTTATACACCAATTATTTAACACATAATTATAAAATTACAGTTTATATCTTACAGTTTACACGTTACAGTTACAAGTTTATATCTTAATTACAGATAGGTATTCTAAAGTATTCTAAAGATCTATTCTTTACATTAATGGAATCTTAAAATATTTACTAAAATATATTTTCATTAGGTAAATGAATATTTTAGTCAAAAAGTGTTGCAATGATGTACACTAACTATATAACTTGTAAGACAAACTATATTATTTTCAAATAAAAACATTGGATTTACTAATAATTTGCATATTTATTGGAATTATATAAATATTTTTTTACTGTAACCAACAATTGAATACTGTATTTAGTTTTCCAACTTCAGGTTACAAGTACAAGCACAATTAATTAATGGGTTTTGTGGAATATGTATGCATTTTTAATAGTGATGGAAGTTATATGTACATTAATGGTGTAAATATGTTGTGGTTTATTTGTTCTTATAAAACATTTAACGTGTTTCGTTTTATATGCTCAATCAATTTCCAAAAGCATGGTCTTATATATTTTTATAGATTTTGTGATTAAAAACATAATATTTATTATTAAAGGAATATTTATTTAAATTTATGGCATTAATCTACACTATTTTTTAAATAAATATTTTAATAATTAAATAACATTTCACTTGGTAGTTACAGGCATATTTATAGGTACTATTTTTTAAAATTTAAATAATATATTTTTGATTTTTCTGTTGTAAAAATGTGTATTTTATAGCATATTTCCACAACAAAACCCGAAAATATGGTTTTATATGTCTAAACATATTTTGTCATTTTTAATTTCGTGTGTTTTATCACGTTTAATATGTTTCAACATTTAAATACTAAAAACTAATTTGTAAATTATACACAAATTATAATACTGTACAGTTAGGTAAATTAATCGCATAATTCAAAATAACATCACTGTCTATAAATTCATTTAAAAATAATTACTAATTATGGTTATTGGAATCGCTAATTTTAGATGGCATGTGTTGATTTAGTAAGACACACCTTGCTTAATTTAATTGTGATTCTTTATATAAACTGCATTTAAAAACACAGATATTTAATACAACCATGATCATCTCAACCCTATTTACACTGTTGTCAAGCCTACTGTACTGTTTGTGCAAACCTTCAGACCTATTCAATACCGTATTGGACGATCAAAATCCATCATCATGGCACCCACCACCAACTGACCATGGTAGTCAGCCGCCCTTTAAATACCCATTTTCATTTGCCAAAACGGGTAGATTTAGCGGCGGCTGGACTCGACAGGTCACTGTCCGGGACCTACCCATAGCCCAAGCCATGGCAGGGGTACAAATGCGACTAATAAAGGGTGGCGTACGTGAGCTGCATTGGCACGTAAGCGCCGAGTGGGCCTATATGATCCAGGGCACTTGCCGTATCACCGCCGTCGACGAACACGGTAGGGCGTTTGTCGAGGACGTAAACGAGGGCGATCTTTGGGTATTCCCGGGCGGTATACCCCATAGCATACAGGGTGTGGGCAAAGACGGCTGCTTTTTCCTGCTGGTGTTTAACGATGGTAATTTCAACGCGTATGACACATTTATGCTCACCGATTGGTTCCAACACATCCCGCTCGACATACTGGCCAAGAACTTTGGTGTACCCGAGTCTACCTTCGCTAATATCACCCACAAAGAGATGTTTATCTTTGCCTCACAGATGCCCCGCGGCTTACAGGAGGAGAAGACAGCCGCGGCTAAGGGCACGGCATATGTGCCGAACCCGTTCTCGTTCTTCGCCAGCAAAATGACACCCAATGTCACCCGATCTGGAGGTCGGGTCAAAGTGATCGACAAACGCAACTTCCCGGTGACCACAATGGCCGCCGCGATTGTCACCCTAAAGCCCTGTGCTCTCCGAGAGTTGCATTGGCACCCGAACGGACCCGAATGGAACTACTTTCTCAAGGGTAAGGCACGGATGGGTGTGTTCGCCGCGAGTGGTCAACACCGCACTATGAACTTTGAAGAGGGAGATGTGGGTTATATTGAACAGTCGGCCCCGCATTATATCGAGAATAAAACTTTATCAAGAGGTTTTAATATTGTTATAAAACTCGTATAAATATTTGCATTTAATGTAATGAATGGGTTTTAACATTACTCCTTTTCACTAAGCCTATTACCATTTCGGTTAATTCATATCTAATATTAATCTAATATAAACAGTGAAATTTAACAAAAACACTTAAAAATAAAAGATAAATAATAATTTCATTATAAAATAATTCTGTTTATATATGATCCGGATATAATTACGCCCATTGTGTAAGAATCACATTTAATTTTACCGACATTTGAATCAAATGATTTGATTAGAAAAATTATCTATATAATAGTAAATTCAAAAATAATTTAACAACTTTATATTTTATTAGCTAATATTTACAGAAAATAAATATACATTTTATTAAATCAGTTTATATAATTGTTTAATTTATCAAAAAAGTGATTAATCCCACAAGTTAGTAATTACAAGACATTTAAAACGATCGCAACGGATATAGTTGCAACCCTTTTGCGAAATTTACTTGTAATTGCACTGCAATTATATTTGGCCTTTTGTTAGAGTCTTCTAAAATTGACGATTCAATAACCATGATTATTAATTATTTTTAAATGTATAGATATTTATAGACAGTAATGTTATTTTGAATTATGCGTTTAATTAATCGTAATTTACCTTACTGTACATTATTATAATTTATTTTTGTATAATTTACAAAACACACATTTTTCACAAAGCTCATTAACTAATTGTGCTTGTACTGTACTTGTAACGCGATGTTTAACAACTAAATACATTAGCTTTAAACAGTATTCAAATTTTGGTTACAGTAGAAAAATATTAATATAATTCCAATAAATATGTAAATTATTAGTAAATTAAATGTTTTTGATTTTAAAATAATATTGTTTGTTTTAGTGTAAATGCACTTTTGGGCAAAAATATTTATTTACCACATTGAAATTTCTATTTTTAAATATTTTAAGAGTACATTAATTTAGATTCTAAATTTTAGAATAACTATAAACTGTAATTTTATAAATATGTGTTAAAGCATTGGTGTATAAGCATTGAGTTTATAATTAAATTTGGTAAACCTAATACTTGAACTGTAGATAATAAGGTAATAATTTATTATTTTGATAAAATATTAATTAATTAATTACAACAAAATTTATACAATAAAAACAATCGCAATGAGAGAGACATATCTTTATGGTCGGATAGACTGTTGTGTTTTGGGAATACCATCGATAAACTTCTCGCCGGTGAACAGGTGTTCGTCGACGAGTCGGGAAGGCGTGTGGGCTAACCATTCGGCGAGCGATATATCGGCATAAGTATTGGTCGAAAACACTTCGATGAACACGACATCATCGGTGCCTATATTCTCGATATAATGCGGGGCCGACTGTTCAATATAACCCACATCTCCCTCTTCAAAGTTCATAGTGCGGTGACCACAATGGCCGCCGCGATTGTCACCCTAAAGCCCTGTGCTCTCCGAGAGTTGCATT